AAGCAGGTAACTTGGCCATAATAAACCAGTTCCTTTACACTTTTCACTCAGTCTCGACTAGTGTTTGGGTGTACCAGTTAAACAACTATACTCTCTGCAGGAGAGCTTTATTTACCAGAAGCTGGATCCAGGACCCTGTTTCAGGGTGGGAAGCGACGGCGAGACCCCGGCCAAGCTGAGGCGGTTAGGAGCTGAAGTGCTGCTGATGTCCTAGCGATAGCTAGGGAGTGTGCTTGGAGGAGGTACCCAGTCAGGGTACCAGGCGGTCTGCCACATTGCATAGGACAATGTAAATGAAGCTTGTGTTTTTAATACACTCAGGGTTATTCACTACATTGAGAATTTTCAGGAAATCAAAGTGAACTTAAAATTTAAGGCCAAAGTAGCCAACTGGAAGCATAGCTGACTTGGATAATTTTTACAGTTTGACTATTTGGGGCTCAGATTTAAATCCAATTTGCGTTAATTTTGCATTTCAGACAATTTTCCCTGTAGTGAATAACCCTGACCGTTTTGTATTCACTTGTTTCCCTCTTTGTTCGTCTTCATGAGGTAAAAGAGGTTGTGATAATAGAGTCCCTAATATCTCACTTGGCAAATACTAATTTATTTTTTCCTGAGTCAAAAGGACAGCAGAGAGAGAGACTTCACAATCAACGTGGCTGGTGGTTTCAAACTTTAAAATGCAGCCAGTGATTTATTTCTTGGTACTAAGAAAAGGTCTAAGGCCATGCCACTACTCAAACTCTTTTTCCCTCTTCCTGTCAGTTGGGCTTTGCTCCATCATCAATGACTTGGCAGGATTAATTTGACACATAAGCTACGCCCTTGACACGATTCCTTCCCATATACTGAATTTGATGATTGGTCCAACGAGGAAGTATTAGCAGCAGTGGGCAGCATGAGCAGCATTGGTCAGCTGTGATTGGCTGAGAGTGTCAGCTGATCGCATTCAGCCTATCACGGTGCAATTGCAGGTATGAATTAGTATGGTTACCAAGAAGTGTGTAGTCTCTGTCTTAGCCACACCTCCAGTGAGAGAATGGGACAATGGGAAGCCAGGGACCCTCATTCAGTGTTAAGTTGCTTAAAAATGGATGGATAAGTGGCAAGGGACTCCAGGGACTATAACCAATTCAATGAGATGAAATGCCAGCAGTGTCCCTTTACAGGCGCCTAACCACTTGATTGCAAAGAAGTTGTCTTGTTGCAGTGGCCATTTTGTTTTAACACTGCAATATAAAACACATATATAGTACATCTCTCGTGAAAGTCTTCCTGACAGGGAATATAGGCACTTCTCTGTGAGAACTTAACATACTCGATTCTCAATCAAATGCTGCTCATAGAGAGCATATGATTGTAGCAGTGCAGCATTGTGCCACACATGTAAACTTGCCCCCCATGCCTTCCTATGGGGAAGCATTGGATTGGCTGAAATCATCAATCTTGATGACCTCAGCCAGGGAGTCAGTGCAGCCGCAGTAAGGGAAGAAAGTTAAGTTAAACGCAACACTATAGTGTTCCTTTAATTGTGCCCAGGAGAGGGTGAAATGCGTAGGATAAAGCATCATAAGGCATGATTGAAAAAGAGATCCAGTGGACCTGCAACCCTTGCTTGATATGCTGCTAAACCTTTGGATTTATCACGATGGAAGAGAACTCTGCTACTTGCTTGCTGATGAATGTTAAAAGGACACTAGAGGCACCCAGAGTACTTCATCTGATTGAAGTGGTCTGGGTGCACTGTCTCTGTCCCCTTAGTTCTGCAATGTTAAACATTGCAGTTTTTCGACTAACTGCAATGTTTACATTGTAGTACTAAGACAGCCTCTAGTGTCTGTCTACCAGACAGCAACTAGATGCACTTCTGGGAAGTTTTCCAGACTCAGTGTCCATTAATGACGCTGGACCTCCACACGCTCAGCATAAGCACATCCAGCGTCCCTGAAATCCCCATAGGAAAGCATCATGTCGGATGAGGAGGTGGAGCATCGACCCAGCACCAAGGGACATCAGGACTGGAATCAAGTAAGTAAAGGTTTTTTTTGTAACCCTTTATGTGCTGGGGATAACTTTGTATTCCTAACACTATAGAATTACTTTAAGGATACAAGTTTGATCCATTCAAGGCGCTTTTATAAGGATCTTCTGTGAGTGTACATTTGTCTCTTTCTTGGTGTTAGATGTTACATAGTTACATAGCTGAAAAGAGACTTGCGTCCATCAAATTCAGCCTTCCTCAAATATGTTTTTGCTGTTGATCCAAAAGAAGGCAAAAAACCTGGTCTGAAGCGCTTCCAATTTTGCAACAAACTAGGAAAAAATTCATTCTTGACCCCAAAATAGCAGTCAGATGTCTCCTTGGATCAAGCAGGTATTACCCCACTAATTATAAATTATATCCCTGTATGTTATGTTTTTGGAAGTATTTATCCAATTTCTGTAAAAGGCTACCAAGCTATTTTGACCTTTAGATTTCTGCATTGAAGATTGTTGGAGGCTCTCAGGGATTGGAAGACTCCAAACTTTAGGGTAGTGTGTATACATACATTTCTTTTTATAATGAATTTTATCGGCCTTTTCACCGTATAATTGTACTTATTTTTAATATCACATTAAATGTTATATAAGTTTTGATAGTATTACATGCACAAGTCGTGCCTAGTTCCTTTTTTGTTTTGTTTTTTAATGACATCCTACAAAACTGCCTAGTAACCACTTATTTTATTATTTATATAGCAGCAGCAAATTCCGTAGTGCTGTACAATGGGTGGGCTAACAGACATGTAATTGTAACCAGACAAATGGACACACAGGAACAGAGGGGTGGAGGGCCCTGCTCAATGTTTAAGTAGGGGGAATGAAATAGGTTGCTAGAAAACTATTCACAGAGAACTTAGTAGGTCATTTTGACAGTTGCGGGAGAGAAGTCATGCGGGGGGTCGGGGGGAAGGTAGAATGAAAACCCACTAACAGTTTAAATGAAATGCTTTCCTGAAGAAGTGTGTTTTCATGGATTTTTTGAAGGAGTGGAGACTGGGTGAAAGTCGAACGGAGAAGGGAGTTCCACAGAAAAGCTGCAGCCCTGGAGAAGTCTTGGATGTGAGCATCAGATGTGGGAGTATGGACAGAGGATAGACGTAGGTCTTCGGCAGAGTGCAGGGGCCTCGACGGGACGTACTTGTGTATTAGGGAGGATAGGTAGGTTGGAGCAGCATTGTAAGCACGCACCAGAATCTTAAATTGATTATATTATATCCAACTGGAAGCCATTGTAGGGACTGTCAGAGGGGAGATGCATGGGAGGTGCAGGCGGACAGGAAAATGTGCCTTGCCGCTGCATTCCTTACAGATTCCAGCAGTGCAATCTGGGAACACTTAAGACCACTGAGAAGGGGATTGCAGTAGTCAAGGCGAGAAAGAACAACGGCATGGACCAGCACCTTAGCCGCGTCAGGTGTTAAATAGGGGCAGATGCGAGGTATGTTTCTGGGATGGAAGCGGCAGGATTTGGTGATTGACTGGACATGAGGGGTGAAGGAGAGATCGGAGTCAAAGAGAACACCTAGCGAGTCTGAGAGGTAGATTGGATGGTGGCACTGTTGACTTGGTGGGAGATAGACACGAGAGTAGCAACACTTGAGGGAGGGAAGACCAGAAGTTCTGTTTTGGACAGGTGGAGTTTAAGGAAGTGAGCAGCCATCCAGTTGGAAATGGCGGAGAGGCAGTCAGAGACACGAGTCAAGATGGGTGGAGAGAGATCAGGAGAGGACAGGTAGACTTGTGTGTCATCTGCATATACATAATAATGTAAGCCAAAGGAGCTGATGAGTTTACCAAGGGAGGCAGCGTAGACTGAGAACAATAGGGAACCTATGACAGAACCTTGGGGAACGCCAACAGAGAGGGGTTAGGGATCAATATATATTAATAAATTAATACATATTTTAACATTTTATATCTTTTTGAGGTTTTTGAATCTGATGACTCTGCTTTTGTCAGGAAAATTATACAGACAGTTGGTGCCATCTTAACACCTGCACTTTATTATTCTCATGACAATTTGATGTGTTCCAGAGCTTATATATCACCCCTACAGGTGGTTCCACCATGGAAACATGAAGATATGTTTCCTCCACATAGTTACAGCACATGAAGCCCTTTCTTTTTGTTTGGTCACTGGTCTCTGATATATATCAGCTAGCCTAATTCCATGTATTGTTTCCTTCCTGACCTTACCTGCTCTATTAGTTGGAGATTATTGAATAAGAAAGAAGAAAAGGGACATGTGTTGCCTTCTTGTGTATTGTAGCCCATCCATGCAGGATGCATTTTAATTCCAGAAACATTTAGTTTATTGGCTGTAACCATATACAAATAAATACATTTTGCTTTTGTGTTTTGTGTTTTACTGCAGTGGGTGTGTTATACCAAAAATTCCAAAAGATCATTTTAATTTTATTTTTTTTTAATAATTCATTATAGCCAAAGTGAAAAACACTATTCGGTTCACCTAGGATTTCAGATTAGCTAATATGGCGTACATTTTTTAAATTCAAATCGCTATTCACCAAACGTTGAATAGCAATGAATTGAAAGATGAAAAATGGAAATATTTAGGATTAAAAAGCCAAACTGGGAGTATAGCTAAGTTAGAGAATTTTTTTTATATATTAACCATTTAAAACCTAAATTTTGCCATTTAGATTTTAATTTGCAGCTATTTGCAGTTTAGAGGGTAAAACCTTCAGTGCAAACTGAATTTAAGGAGAATTTACATTTTTGTCTATTTTTTTTTATCAAAGTTGAGGAAGACTTGCAATTTATAATTAATATATATAAATAATAATAAATATATAAACGAAAATACATGATGAGTAGACATAACACAGTTTCAGTTTCTTAGTTATCTACAAATCGCCTTTTTAAAAATTATTATTATTCAACCAGCAGCGCAAAAAAATGAGCCCAAAAATAAAAACATCATGTTCCAAATGTATAAAGAAAATGTTTTATTTAAAGTGTTAAATACCACCACCGTAATTAATATGCTTTACATTAGTTGGTGCTCTGCAGGACTAGTCTGCCATTTCATCCAACTGGTTTTTATTATTTTTTTTGCTCTTAAAACATACTATTTACAAGACCGCAGTTGACACTGGGACAGTGCCATATCCATGGCTTCCACCATGAATGGAACTGCAGACATTATGTGAAATAAAAAAAAAAATACATCAACCTTTTTTTCTTTAAAATAAATACTGCATAATGATACGTATGTACAAATCTTATATATGGTCTTGTTCTCCCTATAAAAATTAGAAAGAAAAAAATGCATCTTGGGATTTTTCAGAAAATAACAAAGTACACTGCATTTTCAATACCAGAAATTGGTTTCATTAATATTATATGTGATATGATGATACTGTAGATGGTAGTTTTATTTTTTTATTTTTGTTGTTGCTTTTTTTCTCATTTGCTGGTTCACAACCATCTAAAATTACTTTGATAAACAGCTTTAGTGAATTTATAATCAACAGAATATTTGGAAATCTAACTACCGCATGGAAAGACAGTCTATTTTGTTGGTATTTTGCTATATAAATTAAATTAAAAAAAGAAGGCATTACTGTTAGTTTTTTTTTTTTTTTTGCCTGAGGCTATCCTTGGTCTTTTGGGGACAATCTGTCTGACTTTGGCTGGCCACATTTATGTATGGGCACACATTATACTAAACAGCCTGTGAATTATTAAAAAGATTTTGTTTAAATAAAACGGCCGGTGTCTTTCACGTGACATGTGCACATGAATTTGTACATACATAAACACATACATAAATATGGCAATTCACATATAAAACACAAAATTACATGTGAGTAAAGGTCTGCATATAAACAAAAGTACAGTATATGCACACAAAATATTTATGCACATGTTTATATTATGTAAGTTTATATTTGCCTAATATTTGGATCAATAATAAGAGTAAATGCTACATTTAAAATTTTTTTTAAAAATCAATAAATTAAAAAAATAAAATAATTGGAAGCTTTATTTTCAAACTGCAATCTCCCAATATAAAAAAAGGAAAATATTTTTTTTTGAATATAGGGTTATTATACTAAACTCAAAACAGTTTTAAAGTCATTAAAGAGGGCATTTGAGTCTGGTTTTGTAACTTGAGATGAGAAGTTTACAAACTGCTCTAAAATATCATAGCTTACTTTGAAAAATATTGATAAAACATTGATTTGGTCACCCAGATATTTGGGGTCTATACGTTTACGCACCAAGAAACCATTCCTTCTAACTTTTAGAGCACTGATAGTGTAAGTCAAAACATTTCACCTGGTATGACTTAAAACTCTGAAATAGTGCAAAAAATTAACTCCTTTCTTTAAAAATAGTTAATGTTTTCTTGTGGAATTTTTACGTTTCACCCTTAAATTAATAATGCTGGGTGCTGAAAAATAATTTATTGAAGACATTTACAATGGCCACATAATTCCAGTATTTTGCTGTAAGACTCAATTTGATGGTGGAAAAAAGAATATTTACCATGCACTGTACATATTGCAAAAGGTTCAAATATCTTCTATATCAAATACATGCTGAATTATCTTAGGTAATGTCAAGCCATGTTGCAAATGTATTTTGAACATGCTTGAAGTAAGATAGCTATTAAAGAAGTATCAGGACTGCCAGCAAAAAAAACTTAAAAGTACTGACTGCAATTCAGCCCTGGCACCTTGAACACTTACATGGTTACTAATTTAAATGCCAGAGAGCGAGTAACACATTGCTTTGCTCAACCCTCTGGCAATCAAACTGTGGAACAATTAGTTTTTTTGTCAAACAATCCATGAATGCAGGAAAAAAAGTCTGCAAAACTTGTCAAAACATCAGAGGAAAAATGCAGTCAAAGGACAAAGGGGTATTTTTTTTTGGATTAGTCAATGAATTTGAAGAATAGGCATGGAGTCAGAAAATATGATTAGGGGTACATGAGACGGACTGACACAATGCAAAATATGGGGATTGGTGAGAAGAGGGATGGTAGAAAGAGACATACAATTTGCACAAAATGTTAAACTTTACAAGGCCTGTAACTTTTACATTTAAATAAATTGTATATGTTACATTTATTTCTTTTCACATAAACAGAATTTTAAATATTTGCTAGAAAGTATTTGTTTCTTTTTTTAATTTTCTTTTTTATTTTTTATATACGCCTGCAAAAACACAGACCATGATTCGTTTTTAAGAATGAAAAAAACGTGGTTTGTCTTTGTATCACGCCATTGCATTCTCTCCCCCATTAAAACCATGCACTAGTGAAATTTAATTTTCTTAAAAATTATATAAATAGTTGAAAATGGCTGTTTCTTTTTTGTAATTTTCTTCTTCGTTTTTTTATTTTTATTTTTTTGCAATTTGCAGCCCAAAGAAAATGATTTTCAGAGTTCACTTAGATCTGTGTCCATGCAAATAAAATAAAATAAAGTAAAATCAAATCAAAACATTTCCTTAAATTTCTTGCAGTACTGAATAACCACGGAAAAATATCAGCTGTAGAGAAATCATTAAATAGTGGGTTATTCTCATATCTATGCTTTTCCAAAGCAATGGCCTGTACATTCATTTCATTTCTTTAGCAACCTTCTTTAATAACACTGGGCTCTGGAGTTCTGTCCATTTCATTGAACTTTCTTCTCAAGTCTTACCATCTTCGGGTCGGCTTTTATTTTAGATCTCTATCTTGGGCGTACCCAATCTTTGGGGGCAAATATGAAAAGAAAAAAGTAGCAACAATATGATATGCCACTGAGGATGACTTCTGTTGCATGAAATATTCCTATTTTTTTCTATATTTTTTTCTTTGTAATGTCAATAGTCCATGGCTTCAGATTCAACTAGAACTGAGCTTCAGTAGTCTACAAACCCGTTGTTTTTTTTGTTTTTTTGACGCCATTCCTTCACCTGAGAGCCTTCTTTAGTGCACAATATGTGCAACTTCCACTGAGAACGCAAGATTGCTTGGTATCCCTAGAAACAGGCCCAGAAGACACAACATCAAGCATGCAGTGTTTACCAGGGTATGCGACCTGTCATATTTAGTTTTGTTGTGGTTCCATTTTTTTGTAACGCTGGTTGTAGATACAACAGTTTTTTCACAGATGCTATGAACGAGCATAAGAAGGTCCTGTGGAACTTTCGAGGGATGATTGAGACGCTCTTCTTGTCAGAGGAGCCAATGTGTGGTCTAGAGATGAAATGGGGAAAAGTTTAAACCATCCAATCACCATGTTGGATAGCTCCAGTTCATCTAAAAGTATTTGAGCTACACCCATGAAGGACTTGTGATCCATACGTCCATAATCTCCCCATACGATTATCTGTTTAAATAAATAAAATCACATTTAGATTTGTGTTATTTATGAATCAAAGCATCACTACAGTCAAAACAAGAGAAATTGAGAGACACTAGTGGATGGCCCACATTTGTTGCTAGATGTAATTGTGATAGTGATAATACAGTAAACATATACATACACACAAATATACATGTATATTTAATTTTAACATTCACTTAAAAAAAAACAATCTGGCCTTAAACAGACTAAATGAATACATTATCTTTCCAACAAGTGAATGTTTAAAACAATTATAAAAAAAAGTCAAAGCAGGTGTCTTTTTTAAAATTCCCCTTCATAAATATAAGGGTAAAGATTATAGGGCAGGAACTAATAATTCTGTTGCAGTGAGAACATATACTGCACTAAACATTATAGAGATTGGGCATCGGAACTATTGCTTGGCTTAGTGCCATGGAGATTTAAAGGACCACTATAGTGCCAGGAAAACATACTCGTTTTCCTGGCACTATAGTGCCCTGAGGGTGCCCCCACCCTCAGGGTCCCCCTCCCGCCCGGCTCTGGAAGGGGGAAAAGGGTAATAACTTACCTTTTTCCAGCGCTGGGCGGAGAGCTCTCCTCCTCCTCTCCGCCTCCGTTACGCCCCGCCGGCTGAATGCGCACGCGCGGCAAGAGCTGCGCGCGCATTCAGCCCGTCGCATAGGAAAGCATTTACAATGCTTTCCTATGGACGCTGGCGTGCTCTCACTGTGATTTTCACAGTGAGAAGCACGCAAGCGCCTCTAGTGGCTGTCAATGAGACAGCCACTAGAGGATTAGGGGGAAGGCTTAACCCATTCATAGAAACTGCTGTTTCAGAGAAACTGCTATAATTATGAAAAAATGGGTTAACCCTAGAAGGACCTGGCACCCAGACCACTTCATTAAGCTGAAGTGGTCTGGGTGCCTAGAGTGGTCCTTTAACAGGGTTTGTGACGTCAGTCAACGATATTACCTAATCTATCACATTATTTCTACAAAATCCCACATATTGGGTAGAGTGAAGCAGTTAGGGCTCGAATGGTTCTCATCTGATCAACAGGGAGTCTTGGGAATGGAATACTATTAAAGGATTACTCCACGCACCAGGACCACTTCAGTGATTTGAAGTGGTCACGGTGCCTAAAGGCTGTTTGTGCAGCATTTTACTATGAAACACTGCACATACAGAGTTTAATAACCTCTGCTGACGGAGGTAGCATCATTGGGGTGTCATTACCCAGGCCAGAACTAAAGATTGGCTAATGTGGTCAGCTGACACGCTCAGCCAATGACTGGTGAGGGCCATGGCTTCCGGGATCTGCCACACAGGAGCCCGGAGGGACCTAGGTAAGTGACAAATCATTGCTAGGCAGTTTATCGTATTACCACTCTTCTCATTTTTAATCTGCCTCTTTCTAATCATAGAGCGTAGTCTGAGAGTTTGTCTGGCAGGAGCAATCATGATTACCTCCTAACTGAATAAAGGCCCTCCCCTGCTCATTTTAACATTTCTTTTCCAAGTATTTTAAATGTTTCCCCACTCTTTTTTTTTTCTCACTCTCTCAGTATAGGAAGTACTAATGAACAGTCAATTATCCTGAATAATATATCAGCGGAAATGTATCAGCGTTGGTTTAAAGGGAACCAAATTGTGCAAGCAGGGTAAAAACTCCGCTTTCAAAAATAGACTATTACCCGCCCAAAAGTAATTTGTCTGATTTTTTTTTAGAAATTTACAAGATGGGTTAGGTTCGACAAACTTCTTTATTATTTTAAAGTTTTATTTAAAAATGAATTTTTACAAGAAACCTCCATCCACTAGTACATACATAACAATTAAAAGGTCAGTGGGTAAATGACTGTAATGGTTAACAGCAACATTTAAATGCCAGTTTCCTGAATTCACAGCAAAAGGCAGATTTGGCTTCTAGCTATTTATTATCATAATCAACTTACCTGTAGGACCTTTCCTTGCGGAGATTCTTCAAAAGACAACAACTGCTGATATAAAGGCTCCAGCGTTTTTCTTGCTACTTTTGTTTTCTTTTTGGCTATACAGGTTCCGTTCTCTATAAGATACACCTTTACATATGGTGCTGGAATAGGAAAAGCAAAATCTTGTGTTATTTAAGACAGTCGCAAGAAAGAGGGAACGATAACATGCTGCATTAAAGTCAAACTGTTTCTGTAAAACATGGCAATGCAAAATTACTCGTTCAACGTTTTGGCATTTAATCTATGCATTGTTCGAATAAATCTGCAAGTAATTAAGTAGATTAACCAATACCATTCTGTATCTTGTATCCTGTGCTCTGTATGGCCAAATAATCTGAATCATTGACCCTCACACTACCATTAACCCCTTAAGGACACAACTTCTGGAATAAAAGGGAATCATGACGGAATATTTCCATCATGTGTCCTTAAGGGGTTAACCATGAGATCCTGTGGTCTAAATGCCATTATGTATTTACATTCATTCATTTTATGACTCAGCACCCACCAGACTTATTTCTTCAACTGGTGAGTGATTACATAGAGGATTGGAATCTGGTCTCCCATTGGATCCAACTTTGAATCAACTTGTGCTAGGGTTAACATTCCCCC